GGAGGATGTGGGGAAAGGGTGAGGAGGGAGGGCTCGGGAAGGTCAGGGTTGGGAGAAGGGTGTGGGAGAGGAGAGGGGAAGGGGCAGTGAGAAGGGAGGCTTTGGGGAGGGAAGGGCTGTGTGTGTGTGGGGGGCTATGGGAAGTGGAGGGTTGGGGGAAGAGAGGGGTGAGGGGGGTTGGGAGGAACTGGGGAGGGAAGGGTAAAGGGAGAAAGTGAGGGGACAGGGGAGTAGGGGTGGTCGGGAGGGTCTGGAGGGAGAGAGAGCTGGGAGGCTCAGGGGAGGAGGGAAGTGGGTAGGGTGTAGGGGAGAGGCGGAGTGGGGAGAGGCAGGTTCTGGGGAGAGAAGGTTTAGAGGGAGTGGGTTGGGGGGGCTAGAGGAGGCAGGGTGGAGGGCTTGGGGAGGGCAGAGGGGAGGGGGAAAGGGAGGGGTGGGGCGTGAGGGCTTGAAGAGGGAGGTGAGGGAGAGGGGAGGGTGGAGTGGAGAGATGGGAGGGTGGGGAGCAGAGGGCTTGGGAGCGGCAGGTTGAGGGAAGAGGGGAAAGGGGGGGCCAGAGGGGAGAGCAGGCAGGGAAGGGAAGTGCCGGAGGAGGAGGAGAGGAGCTCACCTCTGAAGCTGCTGTTCCCCACACCTTCATCACTGCTCCACTCCCTGCTACCCTGAGGGGAGTGCCCTGGGCTGGAGACGCTGCATTTGTGCGTCAGGGGGCATTTGTGAGGTGGGAAAGCCCTACTCAATCATTATTGCTTAGGTCAAAAATATTTTTGATGCTAAGCACGCGGAAGGCAAATAATTCATTAATGTATCTGACTTTAGTTAGAGTCGAGCAACAAATTTTATTGAAAATTTGTGAGCAAGCTGCTAGTGTGAGGGAAACCAAAACGGTACCTCGAGCAGCTCACATCCTAGTGAAAACAAACGCATGGATCGTCACAGAATATCTAAGAACGATAGTGGCCGGGAGCCAATGCCAAATGGACAGGTCAGAGCAAGCGCAAGGCAGAGGAGAGATGAGGCAGAGGAATCAAGCAGAATGTCTGTCAAGGAGGAAGGAATGATCGGGCAATGTGCAGAAATGGGACTTACTGAGAGAGACTCTACCTACCTCCAGCTTGAACCAAAGTTCAAGATTAAGGAGGAAAACCAAGCTTATGATGGGCTTCAGGACACACTCAAGGATTGTGCCTTTATTCCCATCCCTGGAAACCGCTGGTGGCATCCATCAGGGGACTGAGAAAGATAACAAGGGCCGGATGGGCAGCAGCTGGAAACTACACAGAGACACTGTATCCATGATTTACAGATGCGGCTAGAGCACAGAGAAGTCAAGCCACTTGCCGGAGGTCACACAGCTAGCAATGGACAAGTCTGAACTTAGAGCCCAGACAGTCTGGCTGCAAAGTCCCACATTAAACCCCCTGATGCAATGGGTATAAAGACTTTATGGCCACACAAAACTTGTACATGAATATTCATAGCGTTATGATTCATAATAGATTAAAGTGGACACAGCTCAAATGTCCATCAACTGCTAATCATTTTGACCCACAGTAATGACAGTTGAGTGAGGCAATTCGACCTATTATGTGTTGGGTCACAAATTTAGGCTGAGCCAAACACCAGCTCAGGGTGCAGACTTACCCCCCCAGGCCGCCTCTTTGCTGCAGGCTCAGTGCACGCACATTGAGGATGAGTTGTCTTTCAGACCCCCCTGAATTAAAACCTCAAACCAAACCAAAATACTGCTTTTCATAACTTAAGAACACAAGAGAACTGATAAATGTCAGTTATCATTCAAAACTGTCCGTTTTAGGGTTGACCATGCAGTTAACCTAGGAAGGTTTGGGGAAGCCCTGACATGAAGAAGTAACCTTCCTTAATCTGGGGTTCTTTACCACCACATGACTGAGTTTGGGACCAAGCCCTTTGTTGTGAGGGTTTAACAACAGCCCTTGTCTCTGTCACCAAACCCCCAGCCCCCATGTGGCTCTAATATTGGCAAATACCCCCCAAGGGCATGGCTGTCCCCAGGAGAACCACTGCATTGATCCTGCTTTCAAATCTTATGGGGTCACACCTTCTCTTCCCTCTCTTGATTTTGTATTTATATTAAAAAAATAAATATATTTTTAGCAGATTGCTTGCAGCCCTTGTTTCTCTAGTACTGGGTTCCTCAGGGCACACTTGGAGTTACTATCTACAGTCCAAAGCCACTGACACTTCCGTTCAAGCCCTACAGGCTATTTCAGGTGCCCTGTGCAGACCTGGCTTATGTGATGACCCGTAGTGCCATGAATACTCCCCGCGCTGCTGAGAGTATCTTGCGTGTGATGTTCTGCTTCACACGTGAGAGGGCGCAGAGGGCTGGCTAAATGAGTAAGGCCCAAAGCCCGGGAAAGAGATGAAATCACGAATAATTGAGAAGAGGTGTTAAGAAGACAACTGACTTCAGAGAAACCTAAAACTGAAACCACAATCATGACAATGCGGGTGAAAGCAGAAAGGGAGCAAGAACTCTGGAGGAGAGGGAGCTGGCAGGGTGGCCACAGGGAAGGCTGAGTGAGCCTGCAGGGGCTCCTTTCTCTGGACCTCACACCCGGCACTGCAGAGGGGCTCCTGCCCATGTGGAAGGCTAGGAGGGCTCTCCAGGCTACATCTGAGCCTGCTTCCTCCCCCTCCCACCCCCCATGGTGCCAGAGGTTCCCAGCTCAGCAGGCCTGGGTGCAAACCTCAGCTTTGTTGCTTACACATTATAAAGACTGGACAAAGTC